CCCTGATGCTGGGAGGGATTGGGGACAGGAGGGGAGGGGGACGACAGAGGATGAGATGGCTAGATGGCATCACTGACTCAATGGACATGAGTTTGGGTAAACTCTAGGAGTTGGTGATCCACAGGGAGGCCTGATGTGTTGCGATTCATGGGGTCACAAAGAGTCGGACACGACTGAGTGACTGAACTGAACTGAATACCCCACTGTTTCCCATTACCACCCTCCCCAACTCTTCCCTTAATCAGGCAGCTAGACCAGAAGATGAATAGATGTCTATTTCATGGCAAATGGATGGGGAAACAGTAGAAAGAGTGACAGACTTTATTTTCTTGGGTACCAGAATGACTGCAGCCATGAAATAAAAAGACACTTGCTCCTTGGAAGGAAGGCTATGACAAACCTAGAGAGCATATTAAAAAGCAGAGATGTTACTTTGCCGACAAAGTTCTGTATAGTCAAAGCTATGGTTTTCCACTGGTCATGTTTGGATGTGAGAGTTGTACCATAAAGAAAGCTGAGTGCCGAAGAATTGATGCTTTTGAACTGTGGTGTTGAAGAAGACTCTTGAGTCCTTTGGACTGCAAGGAGATCCAACCAGTCAATCCTAAAGGAAATCAATCCTGAATATTCATTGGCAGGAGTGATGCTGAAGCTCTAATACTTTGGCCACCTGACGTGAAGGGCTGACTCATTGGAAAAGACCCTCATGCTGGGAAAGATTGAAGGCAGGAGGACAAGGGGACGATAGATGATGAGATGGCTAGATGGCATCACCAACTCAATGGACATGAGTTTGAGCCAAATCTGGGAGCTGGTGACAGACAGGGAAGCCTGGCATGCTGCAGTCCATGGGGTCACAAAGGGTTGGACACAACTGAGCAACTGAACTGAGACCAGAGGACATTCGATGCCTCAATTAGTAGAGGAAAAACTTTTGACACTTCAAAGTTCAAGCCATTTTTGGCCTGTTATTTAATTAATGATAATAGATTTCAGTTTCTAAAACCATACACATAGGCTTCTCCAAGTGTTATCTATTTTTCACAAGATGTAACAGGCACTCCTGTTTGATTTTGAATTGAAATTACAATTTTTGTCTATTAATGTTATTAAAATATTAAAATAATATTTAGAGATCCTTTATTTACTCTTTATTATTTGTATTTACCTGTATCAACACAAATTTTTTTCTTATCCCAAAGTAATATGTTTATTACAGAAAAATATGGAAAAATAGAAAGTCCACATCAGAAAATTAAATCTATACTTAATCTCCTAGGACCAAAAAGGTGATATTGATATATCTTCATACATAAAGTTTTATTTTTACAATATCAAACAAAGCAAAATTTTGCTTAAAACTATGTTATGAATATTTTTCCATGTCAGTACACAAAGTTCCAACAAATCTTTTAACAGCTGCATGTTATTCCATTGTAGCTATTCATAAATTATTGAACTAGTCCTCATATCAACAGAAATTCAACTTGTCACCAATATTTTGTATTTTGTAAATCCTTGGATTCAGCTCTTTCAGACAAGTGTGAGTATTCCTCTGGGGTAAATACCAACATGTAGATTTGCTCAGTATAGAAATAATAAAACAAAGCAGTTATATGTAGGTATCAAAAAACTTAGATGTCACAGGAAAAGAAGCATTGGAGTTGCTCATCTTAATCACGAGAAATTTTCATTTATTCCTTTGAAAACAAACTTTCTTAAGTTGCTTAGGGAGAAAAAACGTTCAGGTCTTGAAGGGACCCTCAGAGCACAGAAAACAACAATAATAACATCAAAAATTCTGATGCATGTATCAGAGCAAGTTTACCTACTCTTGAGCCAAGAGGACAATCTTCTGCTTTGGAAGGAGGGGTAAAGTCCAGACTGGGTTGGAAGACAGTGATAAAAATCACTAGCAGGTAGTTCCCTGAGAAAGGAGACTTGCGCCCGCTGGCCTCTTCTAACTTGGCCTGGGATGTGGTGTTGGGAAACAGGAAAACCCCAGATGGGTTTGGGGAGGCTGAGAGCAGAGGACAGTCCTCTTGTCCTTTGGATGACCCCAGAGACAGCCCAGCACAGAGCAGGTATATCTCTGTGAGTATCTGAGCAGCTGGCCCCCAAGGCACCAGGGTGGTGGGATGAGCTCCCTTGTGCCCCAGAGGCAGAGAAGAGTCAAGGAATGAGAGACAACTCAGCTGTGAGCTGTGCAGATGGGATTCTGAGAACAAGACGGCTGTGAGCCCTCCAGGTCCTACACTCAGTCCTAAGGAAAGTGGGAGCATGCCCCTAAATTTCTGTCACCCTAAGGGAACAGGACTTACAGAAAGTAAATTTACTTTCTTCCCCCCACGTCTAGGGTTTGGGGAATATCCCCAACACCCACCTAAACAAATTTAACTATGGTAAATTTTAAACTCGCCATGTGCCCTTTTATTTCAATAAATGCTTCTTGGGCATCCACTAATTGCAGGGCACTTGAAGGAGTCCAATGGAGGGGACAGACACCCAAACATGCTCAGACTCAAAGGACAATCAATACATTGTGAGCGCACAGAGGAAGTACTCCTGCTTTCTAGNTGGAGGGGACAGACACCCAAACATGCTCAGACTCAAAGGACAATCAATACATTGTGAGCGCACAGAGGAAGTACTCCCGCTTTCTAGCTGGCAGGAGGGCAGAGCCTTGAGGAAGGGGCTGGCATTGACTGGGGGACTAGAGACAGGGGTAGAAAATTGACAGGGAAGCAGCAGTGGTTTCTGCTGTGAAGAAGTTGGCTGCATTTGTGTTTAGAGCACAAGGCTGGAGGAAAGGGCCACAGAGCACTGAATGCCCCAGATCCTGCCCTCACTTCTGACGCACTGGCACTGCTATTCTCTAAATCCGTAATCAGGGGGGCAGGGGCCCTGAGGCGGTTCTCTGTTGCAGCAGGCGGACTTCTCTTGTTCTGCAGCACTGGCTCTAGAGCACGCAGGCGCAGTAGTGGTGGTGCCTGGGCTTAGTTGCTTGGAGGCATGTGGGACCTAGTTCCCCTACCAGGAATGGAACTGTGTCCCCTGCATTGGAAGGTGGACTCTTAACCACTGGACCACCAGGGAAGTTCCCTCTTTCAATCCTTAGAGTTGTTTTTTGATACTTCCCTTCCCTCTCTTCTTGGGGCCATGCACTTGGTTTTTTGAACTTGAGTTTCATATAACTATAATAATAGCAATAAACAGAAATTTCAAACAGTATTAACTGTCATTTAGGGATTTGTCATAATACTAAACTCTTAACCTAAATTATCTTCTTTATCCTTACAATAATCCTAAACATAAAAATTATCCCATATGGGAATATTATCTTCCCTTTTCTAAGCTCTACCCTAATCTTAATAGTGTCTAAATAACTAGGATTTTTCCAAGATGTTCGTATCATCCAAGGTGTTTTTTCTCATGTCCATATTGTTTTCTTAACAAAAATAATTTTAAACTAAGCCTCTAAAATGATCTTCTGTTTTAATTTTCTTCCTGTTCTTCATCCCGCTACTATAATTTCATATTTCTCTTCCTCAATGCAATTTCATACTAATATTTAATTTTTCAAACTCATTCCTACCTGTGTGCCTCTCACCATTTGCTTCCTCTGCTAGGATTTCATTCAAACTGTTTTCTTTTCCCTCTTCCTGGAATATCCTCCCTGACCTCTGTCCCCCTAACAAAACCCATTCATTAAATCATTCCTATTCTTCAAAAACAGGCTAACATGCTGCCTCCTACAAGCAGGTTTCAGGAAGTCTTCCCACCAAAATAATTCCCTTTTTGGGAGAGAATGGACATATATATATATCTATGGTTGAGTCACTCTGCTACACACCTGAAGGTATCACATTGTTAATTGGCTATACTCTAATATAAAATAAAAAGTTAAAAGTTTCGCTGTGTTTGACACAGTGTAATTTCCTCTTTGCCACCTCATCAGGAGATCTGAAATAAATACCTACATTTTTTTTAAGTTAAAAAAAAAAGTATAACTCCTTTCCTTTTCTCTGTCCCTGCGAACATTGTGTCTGTCTTTACATGGTTGTATTTAAATTCAAGGGC